TCAACAAGAGCAGGCTCTAAACTCCTCTGAGCCGGCTCTAGGCTGATTAGAGCCTGCTCTAATTTTCCAAGAGCAGGCTCTACCTAATTAAATGCGTACTGTGACTTTTTAAGCTACTTTTTGGGCACTTGGGGTCTCTAAACAGTTTTAAAACTTTAATGGGGTTTTCAAAACATTATTTTAACATGTAATCAAGGTCTTGAATTGCATAAAATACCCCTTTGTTTTAATAGAATTAAAAGTGCGCTAATTAACAATTTTGCCTACGGTTAACGACTGGAAGGAAATAAATTGTCTAATTTTAATTTGACAATTTCGGGTGCTATAACATGATTCTAAATTAAATTTTAGATGCATGAGGGAGTCTTTTAATTAACAAATTGGACTCATAGCATAGTTTATGGCTCGGTGCAAGAACAATAAAACAGTATACAAGTATGCAACCTAGCTTGCTTTTGACGGATAAAAGGAACTGAATTGCTAGAAGTAATTTAGAATTAAGTTTAGCAAATTCTTGGACAATATTATGATTTTAAAACTTTTTAAATTGCATGATAGAGTTGTTGATTTACTAAAACTAATCTATTCATGCTCTAGATGCTAGTTGATAAACTGTTAAACAATACATGGGTTAACTCTTGGATTTAAATTGTCGAAATAATAAATACTCTTCTGCAATTATTAAGATTTTGGTTTAGGATTGTAAATTGCTAAACTGCTATGTATCGGTTATAATTTACATGGTTTTGGATTTAAATTGCTGAAATATTAAATACTCTTCTGCAATTATTTGGAATGGTTTTGGACTGTAAATTACTTGCTTATTATTTATATGTTATAATTTACATGGATATGGAGGATTGTATGTATCGGTATGGGACGGTGACATACTAGGTATGGTTTAGCTCAAAACGCTAATTCTTACCTTATGGATTTTAATTGGTGAACAGTTTTACCTGTTCAATCAATTATATGGATTTTGTGGATTGTATGCATCGGTATGGGACGGTGGCATACTGGGGACAGACTGATTCAACATACTCAGTCCTACCTATTTTGGAATAAGGGTACGAATTATAAAAACATAATTCTCCTTATATTTAAGTCTGTGCAGTTGAATAAGCTGAACGACTTATTGGATCTCTTATTTAAGTCTGTGCAGTTGAATAAGCTGAACGACTTATTGGATCTCTTATATAAGTCTGTGCGGTTGAATAAGCCGAACGATTTATGAGATTTCCTATGGATGGATATGAATGGATTTTAAATATATTTTTATGGTACCACGAGATGAGCTTGAGTCTCAGACTCGTTGGTTAGGGTGCATATATACAGTAAGATACGTAGCTAAATATGTTGGTTTAGGTATACCCTGTTAAGCTTAGGTAGTCATGCCCACTCAGGTGCATATTGCATGTTGCCTTCTATTCATGTTGAGACCCTCAGCATAGTTTAGTGAGAGTTCTGTAGTGTGGATATATATTTATCTATTACGGACTATATAGATATTGTTGAAATATCTAGGGTGTATCTGCGTATCGAGTCACTATTTGGATTGCAGTTAGAGAAGAATTTGCATGTGGGCCTGACCCACTCTTATTTTTACAGGTTTTCGTCAGTTCCAAGCCTAGAGCTGGATCGTACTAAGCAGATACAGTTATTCACTCCATCGATGGATTCCCGAGTTGTATAAATTGGAAAACGATTTGTATTCGTGGAGGATCAATTGTATCAGAATAGTTTTATTTATCAATGGAAATTTTTATTTTGAGGTTTCAATTATTGGTTTATTGTTTTAGTTCTTTCAGCGTTTTTAATCATTCTTGTTAATCATATTTTTTATTCTGTGTTTGTTAGTTGCTAATTGATTTGATATCCTCGGGTAATCGGGCATGGGCCTGGCCAACCCGCATCCGGAGATCCGGGGGTATCACAGAAAATAACTAAATAAATATAATTAACTAAATCATTCAAAACACATAAACAATTAAATTAAAACAATAATAATTAAAATTAAAACAATTTTTAATTAACAATTAATTTAAATACACACAAATAATCAATTAAGCCACTACACATAAAACAAATTCACCATTAATCAAGTCACCTAATTTAAATACAAATGCACATAAAATCATAATTAAATTTCCATTTTATCCTTTTGAAAACTAGGGGTATTACAACCATATCATTAATATATAAAGTCCGTGTCCTCCTAATAAAAAATATTATCCATCTGGTATAGTGGCCTAATATATGTATAACAATCCATCCCGAAAGCCAAATTATGTCATTCAATTATTTATTGACCTGACACCAATATGAGTTGGACTTAACCTTTATGGTTAATCCATACCTCAATCCAGATTAGGTAGAACTTAGTATTTGAACTAATCCATACCTAGTATGCTACCGTCCCATACCGGTGCATACAATCCTCCAGCTAACATAGTTGACAAAACAGTATAAATATTCATCAACCACATCCCAAAATAAGCATGAATATAGTCTAACATGTGTATAACCAAATTAGGCATCTAATACAAGATTTAGAAATCCTACTCCAGTCCTTTGAATTGATAAAGTAAGACTAAGGAATTAACTCCTCCAAACAATACTATAACTGATGCAATATACAGCAGATTTAAAACATCAGTTAATTCCATCTAAGCATACATATATTTAAACAATTATATGCTTATAACACAACTGAGACATGATTAACAATTCTAATTCATGCAGAGAAACCAAATTGCTAAAACAATAAGCAATTAAAATTTATTTATCCAACCTTCCACATACAGGTTCTTTGTTTAACCTTAGGTTAATTCAATCCTCAATATCTTAATAGAACTATGCTTCCCAACATTTTTATAAGTCTCTAGCAATTAATTACACCATTCAGTACCATTTACACAGCCTTAGAAAACCCAGTTCAGCCCAAACAGACCTTAAAAACCTGTTTTAATACGTTTTAAGGAGAGAGCAGGCTCTCAAAACTTGAGAGCCTACTCCAGAACAAGGAGAGCCGGCTCTTGCTTTGTTGGAGCTGGCTCCTTCCCTTTTTGGAGCCTGCTCTCACACCCTTAAGAGCCGTCGTCCGTTTTCTGTTGTCTTCCTCGCCTCCGGCAATCCTTGGAGTCTCTGTATTAATTTTATTGCATGTTCTAAGGTCCCATCCTAGTTCCAGATTGATCATAAGACAGTATTATATAACCAAGACTTGAATTGAACACAAGTTTTTAAGTAACGACGGCAAGATTTCAGATAGAACTTTTAAGCAAACTCTGAACAGATTAATTCAATGAAATTACATATTGTTTAAACATGCATAAAAGATGTGTTTAAGCTTTAGTTTAATCCCTAGAGCCTACCTAGGCATGCACAGAACACAAGTTAGACTTGCCTTAAGTTTCAGTTTTGAAACTCTAAACCACTGTCTCTAAATTTTCCGACGAAATCCCCAACTGTTGTTCCTCCTCTGTTGCTTTTGGTTTCACCTACGAACAACCACCCCTTCCTCCTCCTTGGTCCAACTTTAGTCTAGATGAAACCCTAGCCTTCCTACCTCTATTTTTCTCTCAAAACTCTCTCTGCCTCTCAATATGCTCTGCTCGTGGTTTTAGTCATAAACCCTAGACATAACCCATATGATAGTATATATACACAGACATCTCTAAATCCTAGACCACTTAGAATTAGAGATTACAAGCCCTAACCCAATTCTAATCGGCACAACGTGAAACATAAAACCCTAAATAATCCCATTAACTTAATTATATACCTAAACAAGTATAATAATTAAAGACCCCTATTAACAACTAAAATCAGTAATTTAATTAATACAAATAAGTCAAATAGTTACACGTCATTAAAGCCATTAATTCAATAATTCAGATAATTAAACAAATAAAACAATAATTAAGCAAATAAACAATTAACCCCTTTAAGAATTCAAATAATCAAACAAATAAACAAGTAAATAAATAAAAATGCAATTTAAACAATTAAATTAATATCAGGACTATCCTTGTATTACAGTAAGCTTCTTGCTCTTCGAGGGTGCCAGGCACTCGAGTTTCAGATTTTGCACTCCAGTTCTCAGCTTGTGCCGACACCTCTGTTGTTCCCCATTCCGTCCCTTTTCACAAGGATCTTCTCTTATGGATGAAATTTGGGTCTAATATGAACGGTGTGACTGGAGGATCTGGAGAGAGAAAAAGGAAAAGGGAGAGAAAAAAATGTTTTTGGGTCTGCAGATAGAACGAAGGGGAAGAATAGGAAATTTGGATGTATAGGGGTTTTCTTCCACTATTTTGCCCTCGCTACCTGGACCAAATGAAGGAGAAAATGAGCAAACCGAGTATGGTGAGGAGAGGGCCGGTGGCTTGTACGACAGTTTCGCGATCGTGACTTCGACGTAGAGATAGATAGAGCGAAGAGAGAGAAGAAGACTCCACGCAGAAAAAAAAATAATAAAAAATTAACTAAAGTGACGTAGGTGAAAGTTGGGTTAAACGTCGTAAGAAGACAGAGAAACGGAGCCATAACGAAGTGGGATGAGAGACCCGAATATGAAGGAGGACACATCCTACGGCTAAAAAAGGGGTGCGCGTGAGTACTGTTGCGAGTTCTGCACACTGGTGTTTGGTCTTGAGCTGGGCAAGAACGGGGCTACTGTGGACTAAGATTGGTGATGATAAGAAAAGGGGCCAAAAAAAAAAAAAAAAAAAAGAAAGAAAGAAAGAAAGAATTGATGACAGGTTTAAAAGAAAAGAGAAACTACAATAACCGTTAAAAAATAAAAAATAAAAAAAAAAATAAATAAATAAATAAAAAGGACTCAAAACTATATTTCAAGCTAGAAAAGAGATAAATAAAAGCACAACCACCAAGGTTTAATTTGACCAATCAAATTACGGACGCGTGTGCTAGCAAACCTCTATTTTTTTTTATAAAAAGTGTGTCACTAAAGTAGCTTTCTTGTGAAAGCCAAAAGAAAGAAAAAGAAATAAAGATGGCAGTGCATAGCTTCAACTCTGCAAATACCAATATGTACTTCAGAAGCAGATGTTGAAGTCTTTTACAGGGATTTTCATGTCAATCTTTTTACGGTCTCTCAGTGTTCTCTCTCCGATCTTTGATTTGATTCAATCTCGTCGTCAAAGAGTTAAATTTATCTGAATTCCTCAGGTTTCCTCAGCCGTCCGATTCCCACAACTCAAGAAGATTTTGGTTTTCTGTTGGCCTCTAATAACCTTAGGTGACCCCTCTCTCTCTCTGCCTTTCAATTCAATCCTTCTACATTTCTATATACACATGTATGTATGATCAATGTATGCACGAACCATAATATTGCAGGTTTGTTCAAATATGTCTGATTCTTTCGTTTATTTATTTATTTAAATTTTTTATTTTTTTGTCATTAGAAATGTCTTTCTTTCTTGATGTCTTGCGATCGATTTTTGGCGGGAAAAACGACAAAGATGTTCAAGAAGCTACTAGTACAAATCGGAAGATCAACTCTCAGAGTAACCTATCAGATACACAGACCGGGTATGGAAGCTGTCGTTCATTTTATTCAAGCAACGGCCAATACGATCCGCAGTTTACACCCACATCGGTCACTCGGGTTCACACCAGTAGAGGGATTGGTAACACTAACAATAAATCCCCATCTTTTGTTTCTCAATGCAAGGCCTCAAACCCTCTAATCACTAAACCAAGCGAGCAAGGTTTAAAACGAAATTCGTCTCAACCATCTTCATCTTCCACTAAACCATCCTCATCTTTGTCTAAGCCCTCTGCTTATTCCTCCAAACAATCGCCATCTTTGTCTGGGTCTGGACTACACCAATCACTCCCCGAACCAACTCTAACATCATCCTCAATTTCTTCAGAGACAATTTCATCTTCATTGAAACCCCCTCCACCATCCACCAAGACAAGTATATCTCTGGCTTCGCCTAATCCGAATAATCAACAAACAAAGTCCAATTTCTTTTGGGAAGAAAAGGGTGCATCCCAGTCAACTTCTCTGGGGACACCTTCCATGAAACCCCCTCCACCATCCACCAGGCCAACTCTGTCCCTGGATTCGTCTAATCTGAATAATCAGCAGACAATGTCCAACTACTTTTGGGAAGAAAAGGGTGCATCCCTGTTAACTTCTTCGGAGACACCTTCATCTCCCTGGAAACCACCTCCACCATCCACCAAGCCAACTCTGTCTCCGGCTTCGTCTAATCCGAATAATCAACAGACAAAGACCAACTCCTTTTGGGTCGAAAAGGGTGCATCGTCTTCAACTTCTTCGGAGACACCTTCATCTTCCTTGAAACCCCCTCCACTATCCACCAAGCCAACTCTGTCTCCGGTTTCGCCTAATCAGAATAATCAGCAGACAAAGACCAACTACTTTTGGGAAGAAAAGGGTGCATCCCTGTTAACTTCTTCGGGGACACCTTCATCTCCCTTGAAACCACCCCCACCATCCACCAAGCCAACTCTGTCTCCGGCTTCGCCTAATCCGAATAATCAACAGACAAAGACCAATTCCTTTTGGGTCGAAAAGGGTGCATCGCCTTCAACTTCTTCGGAGACACCTTCGTCTTCCTTGAAACCCCCTCCACTATCCACCAAGCCAACTCTGTCTCCGGCTTTGCCTAATCAGAATAATCAGCAGACAAAGGCCAATTACATTTGGGTTGAAAAGGGTGCATCGCCTTCAACTTATTCGGGGACACCTTCATCTCCCTTGAAACCCCCTCCACTATCCACCAAGCCAACTCTGTCTCTGGCTTCGCCTAATCAGAATAATCAGCAGACCAATTACATTTGGGTTGAAAAGGGTGCATCGCGGATTGATGTGATTCCTGAGGACATCAAATGTTTGATTGAGGATGACATTGTGCCTGGAATTCTCGAGAAGCCTTTGTCTGCATCCACATACAAGGATTACTTCAATGCTCTGCTTTATGCTGAGGACTACTACTTTGAGGTAATGGAAGCAGTATGCACACGCACATTTTATAATTATCATCAACTCTACCATAAACCCAATATGTGCCTCTGTATACTGTAAACTGAAAGGCTGAATATGAAACCATGCAACTATATTTTAACTCATGGGGACATTTGATGTGAATCAATCTTCAGTTGACAATAAATATGGTCCAATTGGTTTCAGTATAGATGGTCCATGGATTCAGATTAAACCTACTTGGGTAACAGAAATCTTTTTAAATATGAATTAACTGTCACTTTACCTTAGGTGCTGTAGGCTATACTGTCTTTACACACCTGTATGCGCAAGAAATTGATCCTAAACCACCAAAAAAAAAAAAAGACAGTTGTTCTATGCAGAAATCTTTAAATGCTTTCGAAAAAGTGGAGAAAGACCTTAACAATGAAAGCCTATTTGAAGTAAGAAATTGAGGTATGGTACAAGTATAAATCAAACAATGGTCAGCTTGTGGTTTTGGTTTGGGGAATTGTTCATTTGAGTTGACGATGTCATGTTGGCAAGGCTGATAAATATTACTTTGGAGAAACATAATGACTTATATAGTTTTTTGTAGTTAGAATAATGGGCAAGTTTGATATTTGATCACATAAGTGATGCTTTGCAAAACAAGTGCTACAAGTTCTTTTAGCTAATTGTAAGTTTGTTACATAAGTAAAATAAGAAGAATCTCCACATGTGCACATTAATTTCTTTTGGGTGTGTCACCTTTTATATTTTTGACACCAGAACTAAATTGTGTTTTTAGTGATTATTCCCAGACTAACTTACCTTTCATAGCATGTTTAACTTCTAGTCGTGGGGTTCTTGTATTACTAGGTCCTGTTAGTTGTTGCTAGAGTGGTTTTAGGTTGGAGTTTCTTGGGTTAATTATTGTTTATGCTGATTAAGCACTCCCTGGATCCGATATTTTATTCAATGGGATTAAGATTTTGATCTGAAACCTGCTGCTCAGAAAATAAATTCTAACTACCTGTTTAAATTGTTTATTCCCATTACTTGTAATTTTGGATGGATGTCTCCTGTAAAATGATAATTTTGAAGAGAACAATGATGCACATCCAGAAATCTTATGGAAATCAAATAATTCTAACGCCTTTTCATGAACTCAAAATGTGTCCTTTCAATTCTTCTGCAATGACATAGATGGGATTGATATTTGGATTTCATTATAGAACATCATTAAGGTTATATGTAATGGGCGCTCCACTTTTTTTGGCTTCACCTTGTAGGATTGATATCTTCTTTCAGGATGTTTGCGGACATGCCTCTGTTCAATATTATTGGGATGCCATGTCTTTTGGAAATTCAGTCAATGAATTTTTGCATGGTTATTGTAGACACTAAAATTTAGTGGGCTTTGGTTTTAACGAATGGACCCATTAAATATAGGCTTAATATTTAAATAAATTATTTAATTTACCAGGCTTGGTCCACTTAAATTATTTAATTAGCCCGGCCCAGATAATTAAATGAAACGATAATTATTCCTAATAAAATATATTTTGAATAATTATCTTTAAGGATAATTATCACAATATAACCGGCCCGGCCCAGTTATAGTTTTATCCTTATCAGGAGATGACACGTGTCATCATCCTATTAATCCAAGAAGCTTATAAATAGAGGCCTGGAGGAAGAAAGGGGAGAGGATTCAGAATTCAGAAGTCTACAAATTCAGACACAAATTCAGAATTCAGAAATTCAGAGACTCAGAATTCAGACACAAATTCAGAATCGAAACCCAAAAGCGAAGAACATCAAGCACATCCAACAACGTGCCGTTCTTCATCAAATTCCACAGTGATTCAAGAATAAGCTCGTGCAGCCCTTAGATCCAACCAACCAAAAATTCATAAATTAATAAAATTCTATTTTTGCTCCATATTTTGTTTCTATTGCAGACTTACAAAATTTGTGTGTACAAATTTGTGGCACGCCCGGTGGGACAACCTTTGCCTCTCATCTCTTTCTCCTACCATCAAGTTTCTTCTCTATCAGATTCTATGGCTCCCCCTAAGATTCAGACAGACAAGAAAGCCCAAAAGAACATCGCTATTGCAAAGGTCGACGCTAAAGCCACCATGAAAAGTGGCACGAAGACCAAATTAAGCGATGGAAGTACCTTGACGGGCCCTGTGACACGTAGCAAGTCCCAGGCGATGGCGTCATTCAAACTTCAGCAAGATGTGGTGAAAACTAATCCTGCAACACCGGCAAACGTGAAAACTCAACATGTCAAAAACCTTGACATTGTTCCAGAGGAGGCTCCACCACCAGATTCACTTCGTTCTATCTATGATGCTCACTCTAGTGTCGGTTCACCCCCAGAGTCACCACGTCAGACTTCGGAACAATCAATCACTTCAAGGAACGTGGATTCTCAAGGCCTATCATACTCAGATGTGGTTGCTGCTATGATAACTGGAGCTGCTACGGTGGAGGAACAACTAGCAACTATGGCTCATTCCATTGAGAACCTCACAAAGACTATTAAAGAAAAGGACTTGCAAATCGCTACACTAATGAATAAATTAGAAGTTCAGACCTTCGGTGAAACACCGATGCCATCCGGGAATCGTGCAACTTTCACACCACCACCGTCTGGGAAACCTACATCTTCCACAGCAATACTAACGGAGAATCCTAATTCTACAGCACAAGGTACTCACAGAGAGAATCCCAAACAGACGCCGGTGACAGAACAAGCGACCAGTCAAAACCAGACGCCGGGGATAGAACAGGCGACTGGTTAAACCAATCATACCTCTTCTTCAGTCTCTTCATTATCTATCGAACAATTGCAAGATATGATAACGAATACAATCCGAGCTCAATATGGTGGTGTCTCACAGAGCACTCTCATGTACTCAAAGCCCTATACAAGGAGAATCGACAGTATGAGAATGCATGTAGGATACCAACCTTCGAAGATTCAGCAATTTGACGGAAAAGGTAACCCCAAGCAACACATTGCCCATTTTGTCGAGACTTGTAACAATGCCGGAACAGAGGGGGACTTACTAGTCAAATAGTTTGTCCGGTCCCTTAAAGGAAACGCGTTCGAGTGGTACACTGACCTAAAGTCAGAATCAATTGATAGTTGGGACCAGATGGAACGAGAATTCTTGAACAGGTTCTATAGCACTTGTCGTACTGTTAGTATGATAGAGTTGACTAACACGAAGCAATGGAAGGATGAGCCTGTAATCGACTACATTAATCAGTGGAGAGCCCTCAGTCTTGACTGCAAGGACCGTTTGTCAGAAGTATCTGCTGTGGAGATGTGTATGCAGGGAATGCATTGGGGCCTGCTCTACATTCTGCAAGGCATAAAACCTCGCACATTTGAGGAATTGGCTACGCGTGCCCATGACATGGAGATCAGTATGAAATCCCATGACGGCAAAAGTCCCATGACTATAGAACCACGCAAAGATAAGAAGGACTGGAAGAAGGGCGACAAGTCATCAAAAAATGCGGCTAAAGATTCAATGGCTATCTCAACCACCCCAATTAAGATATCTGTTAAAGATGACAAGAAGGATGATAAAAAGCCTCGCCAGTTTCAAGAGAGGGAAAGACAGCGTCCTACGCTAAAGGAGTTAGAGAAGAAAGAATACCCCTTCCCCGATTCCGATGTTCCTGGCATCTTGGAATGTTTACTTGAAAGTAAAGTTATAGAACTCCCTGAATGCAAACGTCCTCCAGAGATGGGACGTATCAACGATCCAAAATACTGCAAATATCATCGCATTATCAGTCATCCAATTGAGAAGTGTTTTATTTTCAAGGAGGTGGTGATGAATCTGGCAAAACAAGGAAAAATCTTGTTGGATACAGACGAAGTTGTAACTTCAAATCATACTACTGCTACTTTGACAACCTCTGTCGTGGTGAGTGCTCATTCTCAACCTTTAACTTCGGAGGTATCTTGCACAACTATCCAGTTTGGTTCATTGAAACCAATCCCAATCTATATTGGCCAAGGGAGTGTACGTGACATTTCAACATTTGGAAGGGTTTTTCCTCAGGATGATGAAGAAGGATGGACTCTGGTGACAAGAAAGAAACCACGGAAGCAACGAGCTAATATTTTTCAGACTAATTATTCTGACAGAGGGCAAAGGAAGAAGAAACCCCAATATCACCATAAACAGTCTGGCCATAACAGAAAATGGGTCAAGAAGACACAGTCAACTAAACACACCTCTATAAGCAAAAAGAGTCAGAAGCCTATTACTTTGCAAGAGTTCTTTCCAAAAGGATACCTAAATGACGAAGTTGTAACAACTTACATGGTTTCAACTAAGAAAACAAGCCTTAATGATGAGAAGAACGAGGATCAAGATGAAGTCCAGACTGTAGAGAACCATAATACAGCCATCATTGAAAAATTTGATGATGATGAAGTGGTCAGAGGTACGCTTGAGTCATGTTGTGCACCAATTGTTTTCACGGACGAAGATCTTCAGTTGGGTTCGAAGCCGCACAATTGTCCTCTCTTCGTCTCCGGTTACATAAAAGAACGAAGAGTGACTCGTATTCTTATTGATGGTGGCTCGGCGGTGAATCTAATGCCAAAATTTACGATGAAAAATCTTGGCATCACAATTGACGAGTTATCGCGTAGCCGTCTTATTATTCAAGGTTTTAACCAAGGAGGACAGAGAACTATCGGCATGATTCGGGCAAAGCTAACTATTGGCGAGCTCCAAGCAGAAACCTTATTCCATGTGATTGATGCAAAGACGTCCTACAATTTGTTGTTGGGAAGGCCTTAGATACATAGTAATGGCGTCATTCCATCGACTCTTCATCAGTGCTTCAAATTCTACAAAAATGGCGTACAAATGATTGTGGCGGACCATAAGCCATTTACAGAGGCAGAATCTCATTTTGCCGATACCAAGTTCTATATCGATCATGATACACCTTCGGAAGTGCCCATCCCAAGCCTTCCGTCTACACAAGAG